ATGCCAATGTTACAGATTTGCACTCACTCTCAGTTTTGCATTTTACAGTTATCTTTTACTTTGTTGGAAGTCAGATGACTTTTTTCTGTATTGTAATTTATTCAAGAAGTGATTACCAGTAAATAATATGGACACATAAATGTAAATAATAGATTAACTGCGGAAATGCGGGACCGTAGGAAAAGTGGCAAAAAATTGAGGAGCTCGCCACTTGAAAATGTTAAGACTGAGAAAAAATATAGCCTAAAATGTTATTAAGGACAAAGGAAGTCTGCCAAAAAATATTACGATCCGATGTCTTGTGAACTTAGTAGCAAGTAGCGCTGCGGCCACTATTACAGAAGCGCTTAAGGTATTAAAATTGAATACAAATCAGTAGACAGCGAGGCGAAGAATTCTCAAATTGAACGCAAAGGCATAATAAAAGAAGAAAAAACCATTTTGATCAAAATACATGTGCGAGAGTGGTAGCATTTTGCCGGATCGCACGAAAACCGGACCGTTGCCTATTGGGATATGTTAGCCCTTACAGAATGCAATAAAAAAACCACATTTTTAAGATTTAATTGAAGGTTAGTTGGTCCGACAAGACTAAATTAATCGCTTTCAATCAGATGGCCGGGCATGGTATTGGATCAAAGACCCAAATTAAGCCTAAGCGAATCATGTAAGGCAAACTGTGAATCACAGTGGTCGGTCAATAATAGTATGGGTTGTATTTCAAAATTATTGTTGGTCCATTAGTACACATTATGCGTAAAGAACAGTATCTGTTCATATTTCAACAAAATTTGCAAGATGTAGTCGAAAAATGAGAGTTTCTGCTGAAAAATCACCCAAAATATACTGCATATGTTCGCAAAGACTGGATGGAAAAGCAAAAATTTGCTATTTTGAAATGACCTCCACAATCCGCGGATTTGAATCTCGTCGAAAATTTGCGAAATCAACTAAAAGCGCAGCTTACTGAGTATGCAAGTCCGTCCAATGGAGTACATGAGCTTTAAAAGCAAACCAAGGATATATGGGAGGCTATACATCCAGAATTTTTACAGACATACAAATAAGGTGTGCCAAATTGCATCCAGGAACTAAAAAAAGCAAAAGTATACTGAACATTGTGTTAACAATTCTTTTTTTCGTGAAAATTGTCAAAAAGTTATTAAAAAATATATAAGTGCAAAACTGTAACATATGCCTAATTTACATTATTGTCTGCTGGTCTTATTATTGTTGTTGGATTGACTTCAAATCTTTATGAGAGAGGGAGTAGGGGTGTACCAATAAGAATATACAACAAAAGTATGAATGTTGGAAAGATGGCGGTGGCTGAAATAAAAAGTGTTACACCATGCTACAGTTTTGCTCGTCACTGTACATAGCAACTCATTTGTTAGCTTACAGTTGCCATCTGTAATACAATTTCAGTCGCTTGCACCGCAACAGATGTTCGGTTGCCATCTTGAATCGACCCATTAGTATTAGGTAAAATGTATGTAAAAACGTTGTTTCTTTTAATATTCACTTATCGCCCGGCAAGGAGATCGTAGTTTTTTTTTGTGGATAAGTTTGAAGGCTGCTCCTCTTTGCAACAGAGGCCATTTTCAATACTAATTATTTTGCAAATATGTATGTATGTAGTTTAAGTATGTATATTGGATGTACATATACATATGTAGTTAAGCAATCACTTCGGATTTGGTACTACTATATATTAGAAGGGCACGCCGATAGGATTTACGGCGGCTGCTGAACGAAATCAATTAGCTCCAGAACTAGAACAGATAGCGAAATATAAGTAATGATTTTTTAAAGATTTTAATATGGCGAATGAGGAAAAATTGTCTCTTGGATAAGAGAATTGCTTTGACCTTTAAAATGAACCCCAAATATATTAGGTTTCCAATTTTTTTATTTTTTTTTACTTGAAACCAGTATACAATGAACTTTTTATTTTATGCTGTTCTATTATTTATTATTTATTGCTGTTCTTGCGGCAATAAATTCATTTCCATGGTCACAAGAACCGAGAAGCGAATTTTAAATTTTTTTTAAACGACTTCAAAAAAGGAGGAGGCTATCAATTCGCCGCAATATTTTTTCGTGTATGTATGGACCAAGTGAACCGATTTCGATAATATTTTTTATCGCAAATGCGGTACCTCAAGGATGGTATCATAATAATTTGGTTTAGATCCGATCATTGCATCATGAAGAAATTAACAATACTCCTAAATTTTTATATGAGAACGGAAGTCGGTTGTTTTCTGCTTAAAAATAACTTGCTAAAAAATTAATTTCAAGCTGTTTTTAGGTCAAAAAATACAAAAATTCAAAATTTTTACTTTTAAAGGTACATCTGAATGAAAAATTACCTTTGACCTCAAAACCGACAGCCAAAAGTAAAATTTTTGATTTTTTTCTGTTTTCGATCTAACATGCAGTGAACCTTAGAAAAAATGTAGATGTGTTGTTTTTTTTTTGTTTTTGTGACTATGGAAATGCATTCCTTGATACAAAAGCAGCAAAAATGTGTCCACATTTCGAAATTTTTAAAAGTCCATTGCATACTGGTTTTAGGTCAAAAAAAGAAAACACTTTAAATTTTATATTTTTGATCATGGCAATTTTCCATCTCAAAAGCTTTGAAATATCGTAAAATTTATTTCGCTATCTCTTCTCGTTCTCGAGATATTTGATTTTGTCCTTTTTTCAAAATGGCACACACTGCGGGTGCGATGCATTCTCCATTCAAATTTATCTAGCTGCAAAAACTACTAGAATTTAGCAGCTTTCGTTCTCATAGAAAAAATAACCACAGAATGATGAGAACGCAAAATTTGCAAAAACTTACTAGCATCACAATTGCTGATCACTTCCATAGGTGTCACAGGTGGTCATTTGCTAATTTATTTGCCGTTGGTACATTGTTCTCGATTTGTTTTGATGGGAAAACTTGTATGTATGTATATTAGAGTGATCCAAAATAAGTAAAGTCGGAATTTTAATGTTCTCACCCCCTTAGATTGTCCTATATCAAAAAAAAATATATCCCAATTTTTTTTTAAACCAAAAAATTTTTAGAGGCCGCTCAAAGCACTCAATGTAGGGACGTTAATTTTTCCGCTTTTTACGATCGGATTTAGATATTCATTACTTTTCAACAACTTAAATCGAAAAAATTGCTTCTATCTCTCCTACCATAAAATAAATAATAAATATGTAAATGGGTTTGAAACGAACTTTTTTATTTAAAGTGGCGTTTTTATTTTTTCTCTCTGACGTCAGGATTTTGTTTAAAGGACTTTTTTATTTCAAAGTTATGATTAATTCCAAAAATTATTTCAAAAATTCAATGCAATGTAGAATAATAATATGAGTACCAAATGAAAGATGAAATTTCTTTAGAATTTGAAAATTTGAAATTTTTTGGATTCACAAGGACGAATAGGTACTTTTTTAAGGTGATAAAGAAGGACAAAATTCGAAGATGTTATCGAATTTGTATAAGTCCTTAACATATAATTTTTTCAAAATCAAATAATTCGAAATTTCAAGAATACAATTTTAAAAGGACATTTTCAATACTTACTAGTCCTTATGAACCAAAAACTTGAATCTGATTAAATTCTACAAAATTTCCTCTTTAGTTTGATATCCATACTTCTTTTCTAAGCACATTTCACTGGATTTTTGGATTACTGACGTCAGAGTGAAAAACTAAAAAAGCAATTTTACTATATCTGGCCCATGGTTTGGCGAATATGTGTGTATATTGTTTTGTTTGTGTAAAATTTACTACCGCACGGTATTATATGTATAATGAGCTACACAGAAAAGGAGTTTCTATTATTACCATCAGTGCAAATTACAAATCCAGAAAATCCCGGTATTATAAGCCTAGAATCCCGGGATTTTTGGGACCTAATGAAGGCCGGGATGCCGGGATTAACATTCCTAGCTCAAAGTTTTCCATGTAATTTATATGGGGAAAAACCACTTTTCGTAGAAACGGTATGGAGTTCTTGAAAATCTATATTTTCCGATTGGAAAACTCTGGGTCTCTTGAGGAGACTTCCAATAACAATACCCAATTGTTTATTTAGCCATTTTTTATACTAAAGATTTATACCCCAATTGCATTTTCTGGGGATTTTGGCGGACCTATGAAAAAATGGTTAAATAAATAATTGGGTATTATTACTGGAAATCTCCTGAAGTAAAGCAGTTTTCCGATCGAAAAATATTGATTTTCAAAAATTCTCTACCATTTCTACGAAAGGTGTTTGTTCCCAAATTAAAAACATGGAAAATTTTGAGCGCTTTCAGCGACCTCTAAATATTTTTTGATTTCAGAATGTAAAAGTAGGTGTATATTTTATTCGGTATAGAATTCCGACACATAAAAACAAAAAGTCAATAAAGCAATGTTTGGCATATACACTTAGCAAGTGTCAAAAAAACAGAACGTATTAAAGTAATAAGTTGGTGGCACCTGCAATCATGCTCAGCAAAGCTTGATGCATCCTCCGGATAACTCGTCCGGAGTTTATTGCCATTGGCCACAGTGCCTACCCACCAATTTTTGACTGAATAACCTTTTTGTTTCGGTACATGCTTACAACCTCCCTTCTCACTGATTTAGTCAACCCTTTTTTCGAAATGGCAGCAGCTCTGATCGAAAAACGTGTTTCCTATGTTTCCTTTTTAAGTTGCGCAAATTAGTTGAAAAAAAAACTAATTTAAAGAAGTATTTTTTTTTTAATAACGTTATTTATAGTAGTTCCTTCAAGAGATATATTTCAATGTACGTACATAGGTATATATATATTTGGAATTTTGTTCATAATTTCTTAGACGTCGAACGCTGAACGCCGCCGCGGAAATGACAAATAACGACGGCGGCAGGGCTCGCCGGCGTAAATGTACTATATATGTAGATATTTAGTTCCAACCTAGGTTCGATTGTACTGTTATTAAACTATCTACAAACATTGTAGGTATATCATCACTGCGTCTATGGTATCCGACACGATTTCCTCTGTGCCAATTTTACGGCATTCGATCAGCGAACTTTTATTTGTCACTTCGTTTCCGATGTCGATTGCGAGGGCTCAAAAAACTATTGGAACAGGTATTTAAAAACTTTACAAACCTATTTTATATGATTAATTCGGCCGAGTTTTGCAGAAATGATGACCTTTATATGGCTACGACAACAACAACGACGTCTACAACCACTACAGAACCACCACCAACTCCACGCAGACGGCTGGTAAGACCGTTGAGACCATTGCGGCGTCCGATAAATCGTCGGCCGATAGATGATTATTACTATGATGATGAGGAAGAAACAGTAGGTGCTTATGAAGATGATTACTATGAAGAGCGCTTGAATCGTCGTCGCAAACCCAGACCAAGGCAACGAAAACCAGCACCTGAGTATGAAGAAGACTACAGCGACGATAAGCCAAGGTAAATTAAGTTATAACACAACTAAGCTGGATGACATCTGTTGCATGGTGTATAGAAAACCGTTTATCCTTATTCTTTAATAGGCGTCACAATCCCCGTGATCGTTTCCGTGATGATGAAGAACTAGAGGAAGAGTATGATACTGATCGTCGCAAATATGACCGACCTAATACACGGCACAAACCGGCTGACCGGCGCAAGAGTGGAAGTCGTAAAACTACTCCGACTGCTGGACGTTTAGGTGGTGATGAGCGTCGCAGTTTCAACGATGATCGCGCCCAGTCGGGTCGAAAAGACAAAGCGCGTATTACTCCGTCTTCAGATTCAATCGAAGCTTCAGATTCACCTCCACGTCGTCTTACTGGAAGACGTCGCATTAATGAAAAACGACCATCCCCATCCGGTGTTGATGAAATAGATGAATACGAAAAACCCCAAGTGCATGCACCAGATCAAGAGGAGGCTGCTGAGGAAGAAGCGCCACCTAAAGTTAAGACTACGCCCAAGCCATTAGAGGAATTTATAACGCCCAAGGCCGGTAGTGGCTCCGTTTACGCACGTCCACGTGCACCCCCACGAATTGCACGCCCTGTTCCACTTAACGAGAAAAAGAAGTTCCAGTATCCTGTACAGAAAACAGGCACCACAACCAGTCCTGAAATTACGCATGCGGTTGATGCCGATTACTATGAAGATGAGGCCTACGATGATATGCATTCACAACGCGCCCACCCACGAAGGCGTGTTGTAGAAAGTAAGTTTGATGACGAAGAAGAAGTACCTAGCTCGAGAAGGCGTAATCAAAATGACACGCCTTTAATCAAGAAACCTTCACGAACAACCATTCGTCGCCCAACAACTGAGAAGAAGCATGGGCCAATCGCAGAAGATGATGATTATGATAGTAGCAGTGGGATATCTGATGAGCCTGTGGATAGTCACACTAGCAGCCGTCGACGACCTTTCACCACTCGCAACCGTGGCTCTTTTGGTCCCCCCGTTGGCCGCGGTACTGACGATGTAGACTTTGTGGATGATGACTACGAAGAGCGACCACTGCGTCCGGTTCATAGGCTGCGGCCAAAAGTGGCAGCTCGTAAGGGAACCAAGAAGCCGCGTCGCCCAATAGAAGAAGATGTATATGAACAAGAACCTGAACCCCAACCACTGAGTCGCCCTAACGCCAATCGCCCTAGGGCAAAAATCAACACCCGTTCGCGGCAATCCTCAACTACGACGACATCAACAACGGCCGGTCCACACGAGGATGAGGGAGATGTAGAGCCAGAGGAAGTGGGGGAAGAACCATCGGTACCCGCCGCACTAAGCAGGGGCTCTGCCCATGCACATTCAGGACGCACAGCAACGGTACGTGTTGTCAAGCGACCATTCTTGCCTTCTCGCGGTGGCAGTCCCTATCTACCACGTGGCCTACAACCGGTTGGTGTGGCTCTTAAACCACTCAGCACACACACAACGGACAGCACTCCCCTCGACATGGGATCCACAATATCAGGTGTGCGCCTCCTCGAGCATGGTGCACCGATATTGCGTGATTCTGGCAGCGGTTCAGCCCCCACGTCAGTTCATTCATATCTACATGACTCAAATGTCTATGACCGGGAAAGGGAAAGTGAATTGCAAACAGCACAGATCCATCGCACCACCTTGCCACCGCGAAGTGCATTACCAATGTTACAGGCTCGGCCAGAACCACAACCCAAAATCACTTTGGACGAGCTCTACGAAAACGACTATGACGTCACATTAAACGACGCACTCAACCCGACGCTTAAACCGCTTACGCCGCATCACAGCAATCATCCAAATCACAATAGCGCTTTCGAGAATGCATATGCTTCAGATCCGGGCGTCAGTACATTTGTCAATAACAATAAGTCACCAAAACTTTTTCACAATAACAACAATCAATACCAACAACAGCAACATCAAAATAAGCATCAACAAAATTCCTATCAAACTAAACCGCAAACCTCGCTTAGTCAATCCCAAACTCATTTTGAATCACATCAAACATCAAAATCATTGCAATCTCAAATGCACCATCAAACCGAACATTTACTCGCACAACAAACAAGACAGCAACAACAACCACAATCACAACAGCAACAACAACAAAGCTCTTATAAAGACTACAATAGTGATGATTCATATTTTTCACCAACAGATATCCGACGGCGCGCGGTCGTTGCAGCGCCACAACCGTATTCCAGTCGAACGGACTACAGGGGCGTCGGTATGAGAATAGCCCAGCATTTCTATGATGATTTGGAATACTAAAGGTTAGACTAAAGGTCAAACGTTTTTCATAGCAAATGTATTCATTCATACCCGACTAAATGCATATGTATCTACATTCGTACTTACATATATAAATTTTTGTGTTCATATGTACATATGTATGTCTTCTGAGCATTCTTAGGTTTACAAATACGTTCTCTTGCTTTCATGAACTATTTATTCATTACTAATTTCGTGTTACCTGATTGCGCCATTCACTTACGTACATACATACATAAAAAATCGCAGAAATAACCATACCCTAAGTGCCAGCAGTAATGAAAGGCTACAAAATTGCGATTCTTAAAGCTCGAAATGATTTCGCGAAGCGTTATCATTGTGTGGCGCATTACCTAGCCTCTGAAAAACCGAAACAATACAGTCTCCTTAAATGTTTCGGAATGCGAATGGGAAAGTTAGGAATAACATTACAAAGGCTACAATCAACTTAAGTCATCGTATTTATTACTTAAATATTTGGTAAATTATTAGAACATCGAACGAGTGCTTAACCTGTACAGTGTTTAAATCTAGTAGATAAAGTTCAAAACGGGCATATTCAGCCTCATTGCGTAAGTCGTAAATTAGGCTGAATTGTACGACTCGACAACATTAGCATTGTCTACTGTCGTGCTGAAATAAGTAAACGACGAAAATTGTCGAAAACTATGCAGTGCTGCCAAGTTCTTCCGTTTTATTACACTAGTCGAGTGGAAATTTTAGGCAATGACGCTAAATTTTCGATACGATTCGACTCTCGAAAAACGACTTGCATTCGGCACGACTCTCGCAATGAGGCTGA